CCGCCAGTGGCGAGGCCAACAGGTGCAACGGGCATTCAGGGCTGGGCCGCCGCCTGGCTCGCGAACAGCGCTGGTGTGACGCACGGCGCGGCCCCGTGCATGGGGTGGGGTGGGTGTGCATTGGCAAGCACGAGCATAAGCCACGCGCAACTGTCCGGAGCGCGACGACCCCACGGCCGCGGCAGCTTGTGCACCCGTGCAAGCACCCGTGCGGCCGGCGTGCCACATCCCACAAAAGAGAAAGCCATACGCCAGCAAATTCGTGCGGCGGCACGTTATGCCCCCTCCCCCTATGGGGGACGTCGAATGGAGGCGAACGGCAGCACAGGAGCGCCAGCCAATGCCCTCAACCCCTCGTCCTTAACTCTCTGGTCTTGTGGTGCCAATCAAGCCAGCAGGGCCCGTTGCGTGTGGGCGCGTCGTGCAATAGGGAGGGACAGTAGGACGAAATAAACAATCAGGGGTGCCCTGCACGCAACCTGCGCTCGCCCCTCAACTGCGCCCTGGCAAGGCGAATCGAGCATGCAGCAGGCTGCTGGCAGGCACGGCTGCGCCGCCCACTGGCTGCTGCGTGGGGGATTCACTCCTGACACGGCCGCATTGTGTGGACGCGCCGCAATGGGGTCACAGGAATCAACAGCCCACCACACTGGGTGCCGAGCCTTTTTGGGGGGTGGGGTGGCGGGGCAGCCCAGGCCTGGGAGGCGTGGGCCGGGTGTCTCCGCCTGTTTGGACACAGCACAGCACTCAGCCGCGAGGCCAGGTGTTGCCATTGCGCTGCACGAGCATGATGGGCACCAGGGTGTTGGGGTCGCCGTGGTCCAGGGCCGGCTGGCCGCCGTGGCCTGCGGGCGCCAGGTGCCAGCCAGCCGCATCCTGCGCAGAGCACACTGCGCCCGCGCCCGGCAACGGGCCGCTCCCACCCCTGATGCACGCAAAGGTGCCGGAGGCGCCCGCACTGCTGAGCCCTGCTGGCGAGGCAAGCGTCTGAGAGAGGGGGCTGCCCGGGCCGCCGGCGCCGCTGGTTCTGTCGCCGGTGGCACCCAGCCAAGTGAGGCCCCCGTGGCTGTGGCCTTGGCCGTCGGACCTGCCATTGGGTGCCATCACATTGCCTGACGGCCCAAGCCACAGCTCATTGGCAATAGCAGCAGCATGGCTCGCGGCTCGGTTGGCGGCCGCGTCAGCGCGCAGCGCGGCGGCGGTCGCGGCCTCCGCTGCCTTGCGGCCAGCCTGCGCCTCTAGCAACAGCGACTGCAGCATGCCGGCCGCCGCGGCAGCGTCGGCGCCGCCCCCGCGGCCGCTGCTGCTGCAGCCTCCGTCGCTGCCGCTGCGGCCTGCTGGCGTGTGGGCGAGCCCCACAAACCTGCTGCCAGAGGTCGAGCGCGCCACGGCGGCGGCGCTGCTTGCGCTGCTGCCGCTGCCGTGGCCGCTGTCCAGGCGCGCCAGCGGCGCCGACCAGCTGCCGCCAGACCCAATCGCCCCCGGCGGCGGCCATGACCCGCCCTGTGGCCCGGGGGAGTTCCTGTGAGCCACCGGCAGCGGCATCACGGTGGCGACCTGCGGCATGGCAGCGCCCCACGACCCCGACCTCAAGAGCACCTGCTGGTGGTGCTGCTGCTGTTGGTGCTGCTGCATGATGGGCATCTGCATCTGCTGCTGCTGCAGCGGCCCCTCAAACGGCTGGCCAGCCAGAGGAGGCATGCAGGCCGCCGCGTCCACTGGAGGCTGGTGGGGTTGGTGAGGCAGCAGCTGCATCTGGACCTGGTGTGGCGGAGTAGCCTGCACCTGCTGCGGCAGACCCAGCATGTGCTGCTGCTGCTGCTGCTGGGGTGCGTCCAGCCAGAGGCCGTCGAGGCCGGGCACGTCTGAGGCCACGGGGTCAGGGTGCCGCAGCTCCGCTGCGCTGTGCGCGAAGAAGCAGACCTTGCGCTTGCACGATGTGCCGTCCACACACATCTGCAAGCGGGTGGAGTGATCGGGCCGGGCGAGGGGTGCGGTCTGCACAGCGCACCAGTCGGCATGTGTTCGCTGCTCATGCACGCAGGCCCGCAACACTGAGTTCGAACCCTCGCCAATCGCCAGAGTCTGCCCGCGCGAACCGAATGCCGCTGCCTTCCCATCTTGCCTGCGTTCGGTAGCGACTGGGGTGCAGCCACATCTCGAACACGCTGTGCGCGAATGGGCAGCTGTCGCCCGCGGGACACTCGGCGCCACGGCGCGCGCTGGGGCACATTTCCGCCGAGTAACCGCGTTCCAAGGGGCGCCGCCGCGCCAGCTCGCCAGGGTGCGCGTAGGGGCAGGACTTCCTGGTGGGGGTGGGGTGGGGTGGGGGCATGGCCGTGTGTAGTGCGATGGTGCAGGGGCCGGGACGCTGGTTAGCAGCACCAACACCAGGCCCAGGCTCGCGCGGGCCACGCGCACGAGACCTTAAACCCAGCAGCTTAAGCTTGAATCGGACCCCCTGCACCCAATACATCGCCACCAAGCGCCAAGCAGGGGGGTCCCGTGGCGCTGCCCCATGCGGCATTCATTGGGCTGTGTTGGGCGCCTGCCCGCCACATCGGGAGCGAGCCCCGCCGCACCACTCGTGCGGCAGGCGTTTGTTGCACATCAAAATCTTGAAACAGCTGCGAACGATACGCAAGTGACGTTCATGAGGGTGGTGGCCACGGGGGTCACCGGTGCGAGCGGGTCCCGGCACAGCGCCATGTGTCATCTGCCTGCGCGCGCCGGCCCCACGAAAAGCAAGGTATTTAACCGCTCACTTGATACGAAAAGCGTCGCTCGCGAAGAGGGGAGAACGGAGGAGCTTGCCTCCGCGCGGGCCTGGCTGCTGTGTAGACGACGGTGCCTGGGACGACACGGTGCTGTCAGGCATGGCATCTGCATTTGGGGACGACTCCATGGAGTCGTGGCCCCTGCTCATCCACGGTCGTCGTTGGCCTTCTCCACGACTACTGGGGAGGGATGGACGCGAGGCCACGCTTATCTACGCTGCCTAAGTGACTCGCTTGTGATTCTGCGTTGTGCCAAGGATCCCTCTGCGCGCATCTGTGATCGCCGCGCGGTCCCGCTGATGACAATGACGAGTTGGGGAAAGGGAATGCGACCGTCTCGGATAAGAAGCAAGGGATAGAAAGCTTGCAGTGTTATGTGTTGACCCAACTCTTACTCGCTCGCGCACGCTTGCGCAATCGCTGGCGGCGGCGCTCGTGGCGTAAAGGATCACGCTGGCTGATTGCCACGAGGCAGCGAGCATATGTTGGTGTTGTGAGCAGGGGACGATCATGGGGATAGCCATACGTGATAATGCGTTGCGTGCAAGGCGGACTGGCATCACATTGGAGGTGACTAGGCGAATCGTGCGTGGGACAGTCAAGACCAGCCTGGAAATCCAACCTCATCCCGATTTTCCATATCGCGACACCACCACTTACCGCCTTCCACGAGGCATTTACATTGTGAAAATAGGAAAAGTTTAGTTTAATGATGCTACGATGAGCGCAGCAAGGGGTGTTGTCCACGTCCAAGCACTTGCAAACCCTAACCAAGGTGACGGGACCAGCCCGGCCAGGCCAGGCCACACACGGGTCGCCCGGATCCACCACTACTAAGCTGTATGCAGTGCTGGTAGTCTCCAGTGGAGAGGAGGGCTGCTGCTACAGCTGACAAGCCGAAGTTTACTGCGGCAAAAGTAAAACGAACGCTCGCCGCGGCGAAGCCGCAGCGGCCCACTGCAGCCAAAAGCGCCCTGCCCCATAACCCCCCTTGGTGCAAAACTGGTGCAAACCGCGCGCGCTGCCAAGTGCCGGCGAGAAAGTGGTGCATGGCGGGCGGCCTGCGCGGCCGCCTGGCACATGGGCCCTCACAGCCTGCGCGCAACGGCAGGCGGGCGCTGCGCGCCTGGGGGTGATGCCCAGCGCACCAGTGGTTTGTCGGCGGTGGGAAGAATTGTTTTGGGCTGGGTAGCTGACCAAACACCACTTGTGCTGCCAAGCACAAGAATTCGAAAGCAGAGGGTGGCTGCTGCCTCCCCAGAAGAGGCAACGGCGAAGGGCAGCTGGTGGGACACCACCTGCCTGCCAGGTGCTGCTCTCTGAGCAGCACTCTAGCCTTGGCTGCTGGCCAGCTGCCGCAGCAGCTGCGCCTTCGGCGCCCCTCTTCTGAAGCCTAGCCACTGCACTAACCTTCGGAACGTGCAGTGCCTTCACAAGAACGGGCGTGGCCGACGTGACATGCAAGCACACGCGCGCGCCCACATATACACAAGCGCTAGCAAGAATTCATTCTCTCAAATTCAAACACACAAGGAGCCCCTCAACCCAACTGCCCGCTCGCTACGACCCTCATTACATGTGTGACATGGCTGCGCTAGTTCGCGCACAATCCCAGTTCTCGAGGCGGGTGGCAGCCTGCAGCAAGTAGCCTCCATGGCAAATTGGTCAACACAACCATGGCTCAATACATGCAATACTCCTATCAGAACACATGTACGGTACTTGCACCGGGTTTGAACGCATGGACAGCGTGCACGTTGCCAGGGCGCATCAAGAAAAACACGTGATGTCCCTAGGCAGGGCAGGTACCTGCAACTACCGGTAAGATATTTCAGGTCCCGACCCATACCAGATCCCGACCCATACCAGATGAAGAGTGAATATGGCTGCGGCACACTGAGCGCTTGCAAATACAGCAACCCACAAGCAAACAAGGTCGCGGAGTGTTGATGGCGAGCTCTGCGCCCACGACAGGCCGCAGCTGCAGCGGCTGTGCAACCTGGAGACGAGTCGCAAGCTGCGGCAGTCCATCCTGCTTTTCACAGGTTTGCCCTGCACAAAGTCACGAGCACGTCCTGCCAAGCCGCGCAAGGTTGCTCATTCACGAGTATGAGCGAGGCACGGCCGACAGCTTGCACATCCGCACACCCATCAGGCGCTGGGCATCCATCCTGCGCCTGGCACACTACCGAGCAGTCAACTCACACATGCTGAGGCCATCCCACCACTCCGTGCCCGCCTCGCTTCAGCCAGGCGCCCCGTTTGTGCGGTCAAAAGTCCTCGTCAGTGGTGAACACAAAGTTTTGGAAGCTGCAGCCGACGGCATTAACGGCCTCTGCACCCTTGGGAGCCGACGCCGCAGCCGCCGCCGCGCGTGCGCCGGCCATCACGCCCGCCTTTTGGTAGTCGCCCACGCGGCGCTCGAAAAAGTTGGCCTGTGAGAGTTGGGGGGTTGAGGTCGGGAAGGGTGAGGGTGCGGGCCGGCGGCGGGGGCTAGGACCGTGCAAGCTGCGCTCCCTACAGCCTCGTCCTTTGGGCACCTCTAGATTCAGCTCCACCTATGGGGCCCCCTTCCCCCTTCCTCCTGAGACCCCCCCTTCCCCTTCCTCCAGGAAACAAGGGTGAGCACCCTAACCCCTTCGAAGTGGAAATCAAATCCAACAGCTCCCACCTTCCCCTGCAGGCTGATCATCTCCATCCAGTCAAAGGGGTTGATCGCGCCGTACAGCTTGGAGTAGCCCAGGGCCACCAGCAGCCTGCAGTGGACAACATGAAAGGGGGGGGGCACGTGATGGTCAACAGGCTTGAACCCCACTGCGGTGCAGCCCGTGGCATGGAAACAGCACGGCGCCATGCTTCCTATGCCACCTGCATGCCGTTGCACGCGATTTTGCGCCTGCTGCCATGCGCAGTCCTGATCCTTGGCACATCCCAGGGTTGTCATGCCGCCTCGCACCGGCGCCTGCGGCACGGAGTATGCCCCCTGCCTGGCTTCCCTGTGACCCCCCAGAATGCGCGGCCCAGCACCCCCTACTCGCCTCCCCTCAAGTAGCTCACGCCCCCCTTCCTGGCAGTCTCTACCGACCCCGCGGCGCCATGC